CAATTCCTGGATGGCATTCATTTGGAATTTACACAAACTGAAAGTCAACTGACTTTTCCAACGGCTGAGAAGAAATCCTCCAGGTCCCGAGCTCTGATTCTTGCAGCAAGCTGCATACAGAAAACAGTGCGGGCATCTCTCTCCTCTGGTGTTAGATTGTCAATTGGTGCCCTTAGGAGGAAAAGGACAAAAAACAAATGTGCATGTCAATCACAAACCAATAACAAATGCTTAAAAATATTTTAAAACTTTAAAGCTGTGATAGTATAGAAACCTAAAACTAAAACCATAACACATGTTTTCTTTGTTCTGGCACCCCTCGAGATGACAGACTGTAAAGATGACCACTTCTGGCCACTAATATTGCTGCTGCTGATGTGGGAAACTGAGGCTGAACTGGGAGGACTTTTTTTTTTTAAGTAACTCAAACACTCAGGGACAGGTAAGGTTTAACTTGAGAGGTATGGCAGCTTTGCTTGCTAGGTCTGTCAAGGTAGGCAACTGAAGAGCCGACAGACAATACTTATACTAATGTAAGTCACTGAAGGACCTCATTAGAGTGTTCTTTTTGGTGTTTTTTAACGGTCCGTCTTTGACTATTCAAAGCCTGTCGTTAAGGAAGATGCATTTGCAGCACTGTGCTACCTGCTCCTTTGCTTGTATGCCCTGCATGTCTTTCTAGCCGAGTGTAACAGTATTTTGAATTTTCAAATGTTTGGTGAGTCAAGGCCTACGAAAAATCAGGACATGTGTGCATACATAAAAACCACTCACGTGACTGTTTTATCTTACCTAATGGGGCTCTTTTCTTTTTTGAAGGGGCTCCGACTTCTGGAACGTTTGCGACTAAAAAACAAATAAGAATTATTTTACATGGGGGGATCATGTTCTTTTCACATAAACAAGCAGCTAACTTAAAATTACAAAAATAAATTAAGTACAACAACATTAAAAAGACCTAAAATCATACAATTTCAGTACCCAATAAAGTTAATGTAATATTTTTCTGACTAGCAAGCGTAAAAGGTCACATACATCGGACTCCTGCGTGCTCTGTACCGCCCAGCTCGATCTTTGCTTCGGGAGCGGCTGCGATGGCGCTCTCTGCTGCGGCTTCTTTTTCTTTCCCGGCTCTTGCTCCTCTTCTTAGTCTTCTTTCTGTCTTTGCTTTTGCTTCTGCTCCTCTTCTTCTTGGAGCCCGGGCTCCGGCTCCGACTCCTCCTTTTCCTGCAAAGTGTTAGAACAGTTCTGTTGTTGTACACACGCTTTAAAGCAGAACTTTGTCTGATTGAGCACTATTTAGGTAACATCATGGATAACCAAAACTTACTTCTTGCTCTGGTCATCGTGTCCATTTGCATGAGAGGACTTGTTCTCATCCTAAGCAAGGTCGATAGAAGAACATCATGAGGACGTAGATGAAACATTTCATGTCGTCAAGGTAAAGGGGGTGGGGTGGGACAAGAGAAAATGCAGAATATATTCAATTAATAAAAATACAAACTTCCTACAGTCATGTCTGGATAGTGTCCTTCCACCACCCCAATAGCTTCCCATCCCACTCCATCCTTTGTTTTTTTCCCCTCTCTTTTACTAAGCTGCTCAATAGTTAATGCAACAAAGCAAAGATAAGGGAGAGTTTCCAACATATTAGCTCAGTTCAGGAAGCTGACAATAGTCAGGTCATCTCCACCAATACCGTTCTAATAGGTCGTACCAATGCCACTATTTGTGCCTAAACATGTGACCACGCATGGCCCATGGCCACTAAAAGAGATCCTGTGTGGTTGGTGTCAGTCCAGAGATCTTCACCCATTTTCGTTCTTGGACTGTAAGAGCTCGATGCCACCTCTGTCACACATCTTGCCCTGAAGCAAACAGGGATTCACACTTCTTAGTAATATTGACGCCCAAGCAAATAAATAAATAAAGATTAATTCATCCACGTGTTACACTACCATCATCTTCAGTTTACAGTAATACTTACAACCTTTTGACTTAAGGAATTATTAACTACTGAAAGTAAATCATCTTATCATACAATAAAAGGCAGATGTAGCTATTTTACAGTTATTCTAGAAATATATCAATATCTGTGGTGTTCTGTAGCATGCAAAAATCAAGATGCTGATTCACATTACAGTTGGCTAAGGCAAAGAGGCAGTATTCATATTTACCAGCGAGAGAAAAATAACTTTTCACCGATAATTCTGCTGTAGAACTATGACAAAAATGCAATCGCTGGATTTTCAAGAATTTTGCTGCATTATAACTTCAGGAATTACGCCACTCACAGATTGACACAGACACAACTACATACAAATACAACTGCCTGAGGAAATTATACTTTAGCACAACTTTATATACTGATTCTTGCTAAAGACTAGACTTGTTAATGCTATATAACAGAAAAAAAATGTTGAAATCACACACACACGCTGAGGAGATTTTTAACAATACAAAACAGTTTTCCATTTAAAAGGCTCTTATTGAAAAAACCCTGCACATTCATAAACAGCGACAACATACAGATTGTAAATCTGAATACTGCCTCCTTTGCTGGACAAGTAAAGATGGGCTTATCAACCATTGGCATTCACCTTGTAGCAACCGAATAGGGATTGGATGTTCTGGGTTGAATCTCTTTTAGTCCTAAAGTGAACCACAGTACATCAGTATATGCGCAATAACTACCTTCCTTTTTTTCACAGTTCACAGTGGAATCAAAGATGAATTCATGGGAGTAGAGGTGAGATATCATTAGGGAAGTCTATAAAGAGAGATAGATGTGGATTTATTTATAATTCTGTATTGCGTCTTAAATACTCATTCACACCACACAACATTCAAGTTAACTTTGTCACAGTAGCAAATATAAAAGGTCTAAAAATAAAAAGGCCGAACAGCAACACAGGCCTCACTTCTCCAACTTTTAAACCCACCTTTCTGTATGGAGCCTCCAGCATGGCCTCAACGTCAAAGTCATCAGCCATATTGATCCTGCAATAAGAAAGAAAAAGGAAGAAAAACATTTCAGTGATCCGTTTGCGCACGAGAAACTGTAATACCCAGAGTAAACGCTACAAATACACACGGCCTGGTAACGATGAGTCCTAGATTTTCTTATTAGTATCACATGCTCAACATGCAATCCGTTACATGATCGATTGATACTGACAATATAAGAAAAAACATTTAATTGTACTCGAAGAACAACAAAGCTTTCTAAAATCTCAACGTTGCGCACGCGTCTACCCCGAAACGTAGCTAATGCTAACTAGCCACCACGGCCGTGCTTTCAAAGGCCCGCACTGAATTTATGCTGACCATTTTGATAATATATATAATAGCAGGCTTGTAGATATGCAAACCTATAATCAACCAACCACCATTTTGACGTATTTTACACGATTCCAGATAATATTTATGGTGGAAAACAAAAAGAAACGCTTAGGTTCGAATACGGCTAAAAAGCTAACCGCGCTTCCGCGGCAGCGAACGAGCTTCATTAGCAAACATTGACGTTACCGTGTGAAACTGAAGGAAATGTTGTGCCAAAGTGAAAATATCGCGGAAAACGTTCTGGTGTAGAGAATCCTCTTCGACGCCTTTCTCTTTGTAGATTACACAAAGCCAAGATGAAGTCACAATTTCGGAAGTTATATAACCTCGTTTAAGGAAGTCCCCGTTGCAGGTCGTGGCCTGGTACCTCGCCGCTCTCCTTCCTTCTTCTTCGTGTTCTTCCTCTGCTATGGGCATTTACTGCAGCGGCGACGTTTGGTGCCGCGTTGCTGCCACCTACTGGAACCGAGAGGCCCTTTAACCGCTTCTTTGTGAAACCTGGGCAGCATTGTATTATTCAGTGCAGTCAATAATTTATAGAAATGTGATTAGTTATGTATTATATGCACATATCTATTTGGATAGTTAAACCTTGAAGGCCTAGATGTAAGAAACGTTAAGTATTAATTATCCCAAGACGTTTGGTGAGTTTAGAAATACATTTACCCTGTTACGATCTCAGGTTTAGTCTAAGTCAGTAGGATTAAAACAAAACACTGTCAACTTTGTAAATTACCGACTTTAAAATCTTCTTCTTCATAATATGGTTAAGCTCACATCTTCATATCATCCCACTCATTTTAAACTCCATTCATTTTAGGCTACTATATTTATTATCTTGTATGTTTTTAGGTGGGCTAGGATTTTAAGCTTGTGATAGAAGTTAGCACCTACAGGATGTTAGACTTACAGTACTGACGCAATGACTTCTTATAACCTTCTGACCACCGATCCTCACTTTAGCCTGTAAAACACTACCCAGGACACCAACACAGCACCCAGTTTGACAGCTCTATGTTGCTATCTAGTGAAAACTGAGCAAATCCAAACTTCGTTGACATCCAAATGTTTCCTGTTACAGATCAATAACTTATCAATATTTCAAAGTCTATTTTCTAGATAATAATTGCTAAAATATTTTAAAATATCAATACTGGACTACTTACTTTCAGCCCTGTTTGAACAGTGTTGTATATATAATATTTTATACCAATTCTGTTGCTTATTGTTAATGTGTTCTCTAAACTGAACATGTCAAATGTCCGTCCCGGTGACCAATCACGGCCCTCGGTCAGCTCTTATACAGCCCCTCGCGCCTTTGTTAAAATGTATTCTTTGTGGCCTGTCATCACAAACAGAATTAATAAAGTGTTATTTAAATTTTTACCTAATTGTGGCAGCACCATGCAGTGCAGCCAATGAATGTATAAAGTTTTATACACTCAGACAATACACAGAATAGTGAGTCTCTTTTAAATTTAGCCCGAGATACTGAAATTCATCAGCTTCACTGAAGTTTTAGTTATTCCAGACAGCTTGATTTTCTTATTTTCTCTCCATATGTGAATGAAAAGTAGATTTATTTTGTCAAGGCTTAAATCAGAGTAATGAGAACTCTTCTGTTATTGAAAAAAAGCACAATATTTATGTTTCAAAAAGGCAAGAAGAAATGTTGGCCCCCAGGTGAGTTTCTGTTAATAAATATAGACACCGCTGCTCTAAGCTGTTTATCTTGTTCCCCCGTAGACCATTAATTAGTAATATTACAAAGGTTACAAAGGTTCGTAGAAAAAAAAAAAAAAAATGTCTAATTTGCTCTTTAACACACAGTTTCCCAAATGTTTACATACATGGAAACGAATAACATATTTACCATCAATATAAGGCTGTGCTGGACCGTATCATCACTGTGATCACTAGTGAAATATAATTTACAATGAAATTAATATACAAAAAGAAAAAAAAAAATTACTATAACACAGATTTCCATCATTGCAATAATTTTCTTTACTCTCAAACAATAACATAGCCTCATTTATATATATTTCCTGTATCATGCCAGTTAAATGCACTGACAGTCCTTGGCTGCTGAGCATCACACAGTAGAGTCTTCTACACTATTTGTGTTGCTGTGTTTAAGTCTGACTGGTGAATCATAGTCAGGAGGAACTTCAAAAAATGGCTCGTCGTCAAAACAGAAATCGTCAGACGGAGATGCAAAATATGGCAGCCTCAAGAGAAAGCCTGTGAGTATGCCTCCCAGCGCTGACAGTCCTATGGTGGAGAATATAGCTGCAACCTGGAAGAGAGCCTGTTTTTGGGCAGTCCTCCCCAAACCTGCCTTTAAACCGGGAATCACCATCCGTAGCTCTTGTAGCTTGGGGTCCCCTTCCACTGGTGCTCTGTGGGCAAAGATCTCATAGAAACTGGGGCCGTAAACCTCCTCACTAGCTGTCAGTATGGCACATATCCCTGCAGTGCAGGATATAAGTCCGGTTAGTCCATGCAAGTTGTGAATGCCACACTGATCTTGGATCCTCAAACGTCGTGCCAAGATAGGGCTCAAATACTTGTAGCCCAGCATGCATGCAATACACCCTATTACACCCAGAGCGTATGCAGCTACAGGTGATATCATCATATCCACAGATGCCCCGACTGTCACACCTCCAGCCAGGGTCACGTTCTGAATATCAGCCATGGTAAGCTTGCCATTTTTATTTAGCATAGCAGAGAGTGCAAAGGCTGTAAGTGTAGAGGCACTTAGTCCAATGAAAGTGTGGAGGATAGCCCTGTGCTGATCGTCTCCTTTCAGGACTAAAGCTGAGTTAAAGGAGGGCCAGAACACCCAGAGGAACAAGGTCCCCATTAGACACAGGATGTCAGAATGGTAACTTGTGTTCTCCTTTGCGTGACCTTCATTTAGACTAGGCCTGTACAGCACAAAAGTGACACCCAAGCCAAAGTAGCAGGCAAAGAGATGGATGAGAATGGAGCCTCCTGCATCATTGATCTTCAGATACTTAAGCACAACCCATTCTGTGACGGCAAACACAGGAACCTCCAGCAGAGCCATAACCAGTATCTGCAAAGGACTGGTCTTCCCCAGCACTGCCCCATACGATATCAGCACCACAGCACAGGCAAACTCTGCATTTATGAGATTGATCACTCCGAGGTGGATCTTACCATCATGGCTGAACTGGAAGTAGCCCTGCACCAGAATGGCCCACTGGATGGCAAAAGTAGCTGTGAGGAAGTTGAAAACCATCCCCCCAAAACCATAAAATCGGAAAAATGCCAGCAGGCACCCGAAACCCACGAATATCATGAAGTGTATGTCTGTAAAGAAAGGGTAGTCCCTGTACACTGCATTGTGCATAGGGTTGGTCTGATTAGTCTGAAATTTGGCATCAGCCTCTTCATCATACGTAACAAATGCTGCATACAAGGCAACAATAATCACCTCTGCGATGAACACAAACACAGGTAACCGCACTCTGGTCGATTGTTTCTTCATGCTGACAGCTCTTTAGAGCGAGTGACAGTCATTTCTTTTGCACCCTGGTTTAACTCTGCTTAGATAAGGAAGGTCAAAGGCACTGGTAAACCCACTGAAACACATCAATATTCTCCTCCCCGGGAAATGCCACTATGTGGACTTTGCTCACGTTATTTAGACATGCAAAGTCAGCATTCTCTTTTCTTCGGTGTGTTGAAAACCCTCTTTTTCCCCACAGCTTTCCTGTACCCTGTAACAGATGAAATACAAAAAATCTCTTTGAAAGTCCCATTTGTGAAAAAAAGTGAGTCTCGGTGTTACGGGTGTAACACACAGAATGTTTAACTTCTAGTCACTCTCTGTAAATTAAATATTCTTTTAAGTAATTAAATTTTCATGCCCTCCAGGATTAAAGGATAATTCTGCTTGCATGATCCAGCTGATGAACAACAGCTGGTGCACGGCCAAAATGTTCCAGATGTGACTTATGTTCTGCAATTTTTTGTTCCAGGAGTCTGAGTGCATCCACATAAATTTATAGAAATACATTAAATCTTGCCTTTGATATGTGCCCTCCTCATTATTAATTAAAAAGACCGAAAATAAACATTTTCAAACAATGAAAACTAAACTGAAAATGAACCGAAACTGAACTGAATTAAAAACAAAAAGTCAAAATGCAACTGGATTAAAAACTATGTAGAAAATCCCAAATTATAAGAACTCTGGCCAAAAGGAGATGCACTAGAAAAGATGACAAATATTTCAACTGTGTTATTAAAATGACTTTAATCTTGTGCCAACATTTGATTTTGTTTTTACATACAAAATTTTTTCTTTAAACCACGATATGATTGCGCACATGGTAGATAGAACAATGTGCCTTAAACCTATAAATCTATAAAACCTGTACTGAGACACATGACAGTTGTTATCCCTACAACTAAAATCACAGATGTGTATTACAAATGCCCCGTCATGTCGCTGTCTCACACTTTAACATGCTCTACACAAACACAGGTGTCAAATACACACACAGCTACTCACTCTCTCTATCTATGAAACTTCTAAAAATCTAACTCTAAATTTCTGCATACTGTAGTCACCCACAATGCCCTGCAACCGTAATATGCCTCAAAAATAACTTCACTTTTTGTTGTTTTTGCTAGTTATTATATAGTTTTGCACTCACGCTTTTCAGTTTTGGAAACATTGAGGGCTGTACAGAGCCCTTGAAGCTGAAACCTTTCTTTTTTTAAATCTTGTGTACACTAGACTAGGATGCACACAGCCATAATGGAGAGAAACTAATCAAGTTTAAGTTTCACCTCAAAATATCTTCAATGAATATACTGCTGCTTTTGCACAGAGAGAGGACAGGGAGAATCAAGTTAAGTTTCAAAGATTCCCCAAAATGTAATTATTAAATGCTTAGTTATTTAGGGAGTTAAACATTATAGGTGTCAGGAAAGTTAAGCATTAATCATCCCTTTAAATTTGGATAGTTAGATATTTACTCCAAAATATCTAATGTTTAGTCTTAGTCAGCAGGAACAGAGTGCAATTTTAACCTGGCACATTAGTATATGTGAGGGGGAAAACCCCTCAAGATGGGTGGTGACCATGGTGACCATTTAGAAGTCGGCCATCTTGGATACAACTTTTGTTTTTTCAATAGGAAGAGGGCCATGTGACACATCAAACTT